CGTAATTACCCATTATACATTGTGATATAGCCTGGTTCGTTGGTCCGTTGGATCGGATTGCTTTCTCACTACAACCGAACCGCTCCAGAGTTCGTTTTCAATCGAGCCGAGACCACCTCGTTCAGGTGATCTCGGACCGATTGTTTTGGCGCGGATCCGAGGGTGATTGCCGTGTTCACATATGCCCAAACGAACCGAGCTGGAGGGGGGGGACGCGCCAGGTTCCGAAACAACAGGCCAGGTGTGAAAGCAGTTTCAATTTACCTGTTCAGTACTTTCATCCTTTTTACCCCGCTCTAGTTTCTTCCGCTGACGTTGACGCTTAAAAAAAAAAAAAAAAAAGACAAATTAATACGTATTTTTGGCAGCAACACAATGCATGTAATGAAGCCTACTTAGAGCTCTATTTAGGGCTCTGTTCACAATAAGAAAAAAAAAAACAATGCTCAATAGATCTGCACTGACAGTCAACTCTAGGTTAAAAGTGGATTAATTCTTGTACTTAGTGTGTTAAAGTTCATCTCCTCTCACCTTCCTCTTGGCTTTGCGCCTCTCTGCTTTCCGTCTGGCCTTCTCCTCCTCACTAAGATCCTCCTCACCAATTAAGACATCCTGTAAAGCACACACAAACAAATCTAATAGTGTATCAGGAACAAACATACATGCAGGTACTGGTTTCAGAAGAGAAAAATTGTGCAAAATAGCAGCAAACATTTGTCTTTTAGAGCATGTCCTTCATTAAAGAGGTTTAAGAAAATAATCCTACCTTATTCACAATAGATTTCTTTAGTTATATTTGCTACAACAAGATTAAAACGGTTACAAAACCACTGTGGAGGACTTTGGCCTCACTAAATCCATATGCAGATTGATAATATACAAATGAATGAAAGTGAATGAAAGCAGTGTTGCTCGTCCTATGAATGGTTAACCATTTCAAATGCAAATCAAAGCTTAAATTCTTAAAGACGACCTCAGTGAAAAAGCTATGGGCCGGAAGACAACTCTTACACTCTCTAACGTTACTCGTTGAAAGAATGCACACTATCATGGACCGATAAGACACAATTAGAATGTTTCAGCATGAATGTGAAACATTCACCAAAATAATACACGGTGTTCCTTGGAACAAAAGAGCCTCAAAGCAACTGCACAGTATATACTGGGAGTATCTCTGTTTGGAGCACACTGACCTGACCTTAACACAACAGATATGTTGAGGCACGACTAGAAGATAATGTCCATGCACTAACAAAAACACCAAAGACCAAATGTTTTGCCAAGATACCTACAACGGCCCAAAAAAAATATATGGACACCTAAAGTCATACTTATGAGTATCAGTGCCTTTGCAGTGCATACAAATATTAATTGGCATCTGGAAAAGCTGATTCGATACATTTCTCTGAACGGTTTGTTTTTACTCATCTGTACTATTGATTTTCACCAACTGGTAAATTTTTGGTATATATATGAAGCAGGTTTACCTCAATATGCAAATAAAAAAAAAATTATTTACTGTATTTGTATTTACTACCATTCAAACTTTTGGGGTTGATACAATTTTTAAAGATTCTAATTTCTTATGCTCATAAAGGCTGCATTGATTTGATCAAAAATACAGTAAAAACAGTAATACTGTGAAATTTTATTACAATTTAAAGTAACTGATTCTATTTAAATATACTTTAAAAAGTAATTTATTCCTGTGATGGCAAAGCTGAATTTTCAGCATCATTACTCCAGTCTTCAGAGTCACATGATTCTTCAGAAATCACTTTACTATCAATGTTGAAAACAGCTGGGCTGCTTAATATTTTGGTGGAAAGTGTCATACATTTTTTTCAGGATTTTTCCATTAATAAAAAGAACAGCATGTAGCAAAAATATCTTTTTTTGTAAAATTATATATGATTTTACCATTACTTTTGAATAATTTGTCCTTGCCAAATAAAAGTAAAAAAAAAAAAAATAGAAATAAATATCATACTGACCCTAAATGTTTGAACGGTAGTTACACTAATCAAAGATTTTATCATTAAAAGTATCTATAGTGGCCTTAAATGTGTATAAATAAACTTAAACTTTATAAACACTCTAAGGTTATTGTGCAGAAATTGTGCAGGAATAGTTGCCATAGTAGTTTAAAGACCTGAATTAAATTTTTATAAAATTTCAGACTTTCAGATTTAATTTCTGACTGAACTGTGTCAAAAAAACATCTGCAAGCAGTTTGTTCAAAAACAACAGGGAAACATGCAGGTCTTTTGACCTCTCGTTATTGATTTAACTTACATCTTAATTCATGAAAAAAGCTCAATGTTCTTGTACCTGTAAGAGTGTGTGGTCATTCTGTTCGGGGAGGGCACCTGTGTCCATCACCTCTGGCCTCTTATCACTGGAGCCTGTGGAAAGATACGAGAGAGAAAACAATCAATAAAGTCCAGTTCAAGCCAAGCGAATCAGTCAAGCATTCGCCAACATCACACTTTGTGAGACTTAAAACGTTCAATAATGCAGAAATGAAAATAAACAAGCCGCTTTGTTTTGTATTAGAACATAGTCAAATCCCAACATTTACCATTTCCTATAGTCCATTACTGACTGTCAATGTTCATGTGAAACTCAAAATAAAAGAAAATGCCATACATTTGTGACCACTTCTCATACACTTCAAAACTGCCAGACAGTCATTTCAATCAGAGTGCTACAAACCCATGAAAACCCTCACAATCAAGTTTTGGTTTTACTTCTATAACTGCATTAGTTACTCTACCGTACATATATTCAAGGTCTATGTTATAAAATTTTAACCTTGATTTTAATTTCACATCATCTTTGCTACAGACAAGCCAACCAAATCCAGGGCAAACGGAGTTATCAGCGAGAACAAAACCGCACTCACTCATTAGTCAAACATGGGACCCAAAATCCTTGCAGGCAGGACTGCAATTCAATTGTCAGCTAGCCTAAAGTTTCCTTTGCAGTGGTAAAATTAGACCTTGCAGTAATTTCTCCAAGCTACACGGCCTCACAAACTACACAGCTCAAAACATTACATACACATTACAACAGAGCTGTCGAAACTCAGTCCTGGATGTCCTGCAGAGTTTAGCTCCAACTTGCCTCAACACACCTGACTGGAAGTTTATATGCCTAGTAAGAGCTTGATTAGCTGGTTCAGGTGTGTTTAATTAGGGTTGGAGCTAAACTCTGCAGGACACCGGCCCTCCAGGACCGTGTTTGGACAGCCCAGCATTACAATAAGCAACCATCTGCAGAATGTCCAAAATATCAATTTTTGTTTGACATAAACAGCACAGAATCACCAAGTCCCACTTTTTTCGCAGTTGTTAACCAAACACTAATATTCCTGGCTCAGAAAGAGATGTGGATTTGAGTCTTTATATGCTTGTTAACTGATACCTTGTTAGAGAGAAGCAAAGACACATTAGACGCTCTGAATCCTCAATCACTTCCATTAGCCATTACCACGCTCTTAATATCCCACATCCAGAAAAGAGATGCACACAGCTTGCAAAACTAACACCACAAATCTCAAACAAATGCAGATGTATGTAAGAAGCAGGCCGTGATCTGAGGCGTGATGCATTGGCTAGCACACTTCCCTTAAAGTGACTCATCTCACACTTTGACAGCCTTGTGACAATGGCGGTCCAAAAAAACTGATTGACCTTGGTAAGATAAAAAAAACACGTGGCCCTCGGCTAGTCACATCTTCCTTGGATCATGCAAACTGTTCCATGCGAATGATCCCAACTGATACTGTTTTCACTGCTGTGAGTCAGACTCAGTATACGGAATCCAATCCATTGATTAAAATTGAGAATCTTGATTCATACTACAAATAATTAATGCACATAACAGCAGAAAAGACAAGTGAGGACTGTAAGGATGTGTTACAATGGTAACAAAGACATTCATTTCAAAACCAGGAATGAGGTTGAAAGCTACTCGAACCATGTGACAAAGCATCTGAATATTTTACTACAAATGCAACAGACAAGCAAATAGCAGTGTACAGCAACAGCCCTGTAGAAAAAAGAAAAAAAAAACGATGTACACTTTAGCATTTTATGGTGATGGATCTGGTTCTTATGCATATTTGCATACTACAAACTTTAAATACAGCCCAATATTAGACAAGACTAGCAGTACTTCATGTAATGAAGATTGCAACATTGAAACAAATACAAAAAATTAAAAAGGAAACGAATAGGATGACAAAAAACACACAAAAACTCACAATTAAAAATAAAGCCAAAGGGGTTTTACAGCCTGATGTCATAGGAGAACCTTTTCAAGTTCCTCAAAGAATTTTCATTTTCTAGCTCTTTATAAAACCCCCCATGCAACTGTGGGATCACTCTCTAATGCAGGGGTTCTCAATTCCAGTCCTCGTGGAGGGAGTAGGGAGCAATGAACACTGTGTAGGGACCATGTCAATCAGAACACAGTTCATGCATGGAGCTCTCTTCTAACAGGCTGGTTATCTGAATCAGGTGTGTTAAATAAGAGAGACATGCAAAATATGCAGAGTAGAGCCCGACCGATATGGGTTTTTTGGGGCTGATACCGATACCGATATTAGGGAGTAAAAAAAAGGCAGATACCGATATATCGGCCGATATTCTGTGTGTATATTATGTACAGTACCAGTCAAAAGTTTGGACACTTTCCCATTCGTGTGTCCAAACATTTGACTGGTACTATATATAGAATACAGTATATACATAAACAGAATATATATGCGCCGGACCGCGAATTTAACCACCCGTAACTCCCGAACCCCGGGGGCTATCCACGCGGGGGTGATCTCATTCGAAAGAGGGCCTTGAGATGTACACTCGATTCGCGTTCGAGAGGGTTCCTCGAGCTGAGGGGATCCCCCGAATTTGGTGCGGATTCGCCGCGCCGTATCTGCGTTATATGTTCTGTAAAAAAAAAATTCATATCGGAGGCATATCGCCGATACCGATATATCGGCGACAGGCTCATATCGGCCGATAATATCGGCAAAACGATATATCGGTCGGGCTCTAATGCAGAGCAGTGGTATGTGAGGACTGGAATTGAGAACTACTGCTCGAATGCATATTTACATATTTGATTGCATGTTTGTGGTATTTCTACCAAAAAAAAAAAACTCAATATTAGACAACACAAACTAGCAATACTTCATGTACTGAAGATTGCAACATTACAACAAATACAAAAAATTTAAACCAAAAAGATGGTGACAACACACACACACACACACACACACACACACACAATTAAAAAATAAAGCTAAAAGGGTATACAGCCTGATTTCAAAGGCGAACCTTTTCAAGTTCCTCAAAGAATTTTCATTGTCTAGTTCTTTAGAAAACCATCCATGCAATGGTGCTTTAAAGAGTCCAAACACCAAACCCTAGTCTGAAGAATCCTGTTGAAACTGGTAGCTGTGTTTTGGAACAATAAACGTTTTTATTAAACAGTACAATAAAATATTTTGTACTGTTCTCTGAAGTTTACTTATAATGTTATCAAGATTTTTACATCAAAAAACATCATAATTTACAATAGGCTATTTCTGCCCTGTTTTGACACCCTCATCGGAACGCTCAGTTTAAATAGGGGTGGCGGATTCTAGACTCGGAAGTAAACGCCCACTGCTATGATTGGCTAACAGTTGTGTATGTTTGTCAGCCTACAGCCTTCACAGATGGACGCTGCTGTGATTTAGGTTAAAAACACAGAAATAGCAAGTACATATCAAATGATCTGTAATAACAGACAAAGCAATAGTGACCACATAATAAAAACAGCTACTCACACTTTTGTGGTGCAACATTACTGTCAGATCCAATATAGTCGGCACAGCATCGTCTTTTAGTTTCAATCTTTCTGAAAATCCTGCGTCGAACTGTGCCTTGTTTGTAATCAGCGGTAAAATGAAATGAACAAAGGACCAAATTCTTACTGGATCTTCATTAAAAATAAAGCTCATCCACTCTTTCCTAATATTGGGATCAGAAGGAAGGCAATGCAAAGACTGTGTTTTTTTCACAACTTTGCACTGCACAGAGTCTTGTCGTCTTCTGAGTCCCTTTATCGTTTGATTTCTGCGTAAACCTGCGTTTGCCTCTCTCGTTATTTACTTACAACATGCACAAATCGGTGGGCAGAGCTAAACAGGCACTGCTGTAGAAGCAGGCGTTGATCTTCTGCGGAGGCGGGGTTTAGCCACACTATTACATCATAAAGTGGCACATTCCACAAGCTGTCATTTAGGCAGATTGGCTTCAATATAAGCTGCTTTTAGACTAACGAGAACGTTTTGAGTTCTGAAACTTACAGGATGTTTTTATAGTACAGTGATCTCTTATATGTCAAAAGATCAAGGGAATTTTGATTTCTCAGTGCATGACCCCTTTAAGAGGTTTCTATAGGACTACTAGCTGGTCAGTCAGTAACATATATCATAAACCATCTTGCCCACCTTAAGCAAGATGATATACCAGCTTAGACTAGATAAAAACCAACAATCATGTTCCAAATAATGCTACAAGCTTGTATTTTCAAGATTAAGAGCTTCTGTTAAATTTCCAAAGAACCATAGGAGTAACTTGAAAATCCTAAATGGTTCTTGATAAGAAAGTTTGTTGCGTATTGTTGTTAAGAAACACTGAAGAACCTTTATGTTAATAACTGTAAAAAAGAAAAGAAAAACATGTTTGCCTTTAGACTTGAGGCAACCTTTGAGGCAATCCTACTGAAATTATCACAAATTATCACTACATTAGGATGCAATCTGAATCGGTTTGTATACGTTCAAAAACACACTCAAACAGTAAATGATCAGCGGTTCAAATCAGATTTAGTGTCTCTGATTCACAGGCCTGTTGCATGGGATTTCTTCAGTATTTGAATTAGTTTCAATGAACAAACCAAACTAAAGCCTCACATAGAATCTTAGACTTAATTTACTAATTATTTTTCTTAATATTTTTATATTGAACACTAAATATGGATTTGACGGTTTTTAAGGTTTGGAAACAATTATCATCTATCCGGTTGACAACCGCAGTTACGTGTAGTTAAACAACATTTGCATAATTGACATCATGATATCTTTGATACATTTTTATATCTATACAAAACTGACTGGTATAATAAAACAATATATCACTGTCACTAACGCGCGTTAAGGTGAGATAAGCGCATTGTGTCGTGTGTTTTACGGGTCTGATTCATGGAAAACTTACTTTATAACTCGGACAGACAGAAACAAAGTTTCCATACAGTGAAACTCACCGCTGAGCCCCAGTAACCGGCAGAAATCCAAACTGAACTTCATTAGTCCAACCATCCAGCATTATTACCCTAAATACCGCTACAGCAACGTCAACACGACAAAATACACGTCAAAACAACAAATGAATCGTCATATTTAAACTTGCGGCGACAGATGTGTGGTTTCTCTTCCTGTGCGTCGAGCGAAGCGTCAGGCGGGTGTGTTGAACTGAACTCAAGCGCCTCCCAAAACGAGCGTCTTAAAGGGCCGCAGGGGCCAGTGTTCTGGAGCCACACTCTTCTCTCTATGGTATAAAGTATGTTATGATCTAAAAATTATATATTATAAGATATATAATATTATATATGAGATATTATAAGATTATAAGATATACATTTTATAAATAACATTTATAAGGTTTAATTAATTCATTCATTTATTTTTATTTTTATGTCGGTGGATTTTAATGTGACAGGACAGCGGATGGATTTTTTTTACTGGAGGAAGCATAATTATTGATTATGGACTAAAACGCCTTAATAAGAGATTTGTTTCCTATAAACGCACAGCTTTTCACTTCACAAGACATTAATTGATGGATCTGAGTTGTGTTGATTACTTGTGGATTACTGCAATTTTTTCTAAACTGTTGGAACTCTTATTCTGACGGCACCCATTCACTGCAGAGGATCCATAGGTGAGCAAGTGATGTAATGACATTTCTCTAAATTTGTTCCAATGAAGAAACAAACTCTTCTATATCTTGGATGGCCTATATCTTTTCAGCAAATTTTCATTTTTGGGTGAACTATTCCTTTTAAGTTGTATCTTAATCCAGTTACCATCAATAAAATCTATTTTTGCATTTTTTTTTTTCCCTATATTGTAGCTTTTGGCAATTCAATGAAATGAGTTAAAGGGATAGTTCACCCAAAAATGAAAATTTGATGCTTATCTGCTTACCCCCAGGGCATCCAAGATGTAGGTGACTTTGTTTCTCAAGAGATGTTAAACATCATGGCTATACTTTTCATCACACTGGAAATGGAAATTAGAGTGCTTTGTTATATACTGCACATTTGGCATATGTACTGTAGTAGGTCACCCGGGCTTCAATGAATGCAGAAAATTTGCATACTGTGCACAGTTTACATACTACTGTATATACTGCAGGAATAGTTTTACACAGGTTAGCATGCTATGACGAAGTCTTAAATTGTTTCTTTTTCTAGAGTGTGTGTGAGTGCTGTAATTTTTGTAAATTGATCAATTATTTGCATTATAGAAATCCTTCTAATATTATTTTATGTAATATATTTACTAAAGGTGAATTCTGCAGTTCTGAACTACTAGCATCACCACAGAGAAACACTAAAAAGTGTTTAGAAGAAAAAAAAAACTATAAAGCTTTAAACACCAGCCCACTTTCATAGCACCAAATGAGTTATTTATTCTCAAAACAATGTCACAGCTTTTTGTGAGAACATTCAGTGTGGTTTCTAGTCACACGGTCCATCACAAGTTATACAAAACCTGCAAAAGTAGTCTATTCCTTAGTCTGGTTAGACACCATATTGTATTTAACACAGATAGAAAAAACGAGGCTGTGAGGGATAGATTTACAGTCTTTACAATGGCACACACTGTATTATGGTCCTAGATCATGTAATTATTACAACTCACAAAATTGTTTCTGACGTTTTTGTCTACTTTTTCTGAAAGACGTTTCGACAGCTGAACAATCAGTATGTTATTATATACCACAGCAGAATCCATTGAACACACTGTACTTCAGTCCCTCACAACTCATTTTCATTCCTGTCAAAAAGCAAATATAGCGCTACCCTGACTAAGGTCTATGGATTAATTTACATTTATTAAAATTTCACTGAAAAATAAACGTCATATTTTAGGAACAGATTATGGGAGTGTTTAAAATATAGAAGAAAACACATACAATGTTAACAACACTTATTATTTGTCTTCATCTCTCTTTTCATTAAAATATCCCTTTGGAAAATGATATTCCCCACTGAAGGCCAAGATCACAGTCGCTTGAAATCTGCTAGAACTTTGAGAGCTGAATTCCAGCCAGCTGCACCCATGACACCTCCACCTGAATGAGACAAACTCACATAAATGCTGGAAAACACAGGGGAGGTCATGCACGTCAAGCTCAACATTTACCTGACCTGGTTTTATGAAACATGGTATCACACTGATGACATTTCTAAACCCAATACGTACTGTTTTAGCTTTTATTTATTCAGGCACAAACCTGGATGGCTGCCACTGCCACATAAGTACAGTCCTTTGACTGGTGAGCGGTAGTCTGCGACAGAGGGCAAAGGTCTCGCCAGGTAAAGCTGATCCAAAGACATTGAGCCATGAAATATATTCTGTGGCATAAAAAAATGCATGTAATGAATGTTTGGAATGATACGACGTGCAAATATACCACAATTAACTTCCGAATAAAAGTCAAAATCAGTTATTAGATTCTGTATGACTGTGAAAAAAAAGTTATGAGGGTACAAAAAGTCCATGTTCATGTTTATTCAATTTAAATATTCATACCCCCCCAGTGAGACCAAAGACCCTCTCAAGATCAGGAGGAGTCAAGATGTCTTTGCCCACTATAGCCTTTTTAAATCCAGGTGCGTAATGCTCAACCCAGTCGAATACTGTGAAACAGGAAACAAAGGACCAATTACAACAAAGATCTTATTACTTTGAGGCATGTGATATCACTGCGGTAGCACAAACAGTGTCACTGTGTTCAAAAGTGACTCGTTCATGGCCTGCCCGTCTATCAGAGTGTGAATTTTTGGATGGTTTACCGGGGTGGAAGGGTTTGGTTCACCTAATGTTGGGGGGTCGTAAAGAAATGCATACACTTAGCATAAACTTGCATATTTTAAAAGCTCATGAAACAAGTCTTTCTTGAATTACAAATGTAATATTTTATATTTATTATATTAAAAAACAGTAATATTGTGAAATATTATTGCAGTTTGCTGATTTCGTGCTTTATTATTAATAATTGTTTTTTTTTGTGTGTGTAAATGTTGAAAACAGTTTTTGATGGTTAATATTTTTGTGGAAATCGTGATTCTTTTTTTTTCAGTTTTATTTGAGCAAAAAGTTGAAAGTATTTATTTTAAATGGAAATCTTTTGTAACATTAAACGTGTCTTTATGGTCACTTCTGGTCAATTTAATGCATCCTTGGTGAATATAAGTTTAAAAAATCTAACCCGCTTACACAACTTTTGAAAGGCAGTTTATCATGGTTCACAAAAATATTAGACAGCACAAACTGTCTTCAACATTGATAATAATAAGAAATGTTTCTTGATCACCAAATCAGCATATTTGAATGATTTCTGAAGGACCACATGGCACTGAAAACTGGAGTATCTTTAAAAAAAATAATAATAATAATCAACTTTGCCAAAGGAATGAATTGCATTTTAATGTATGTTAAAATATAAAACAGTTTTTTTTAATTGTAATAATATTTTACAATATTACTGTTTTACTGTAATTTTGGTCAATAATGCAGCCATTGTGAGAGACTTCTTTCAAAAACGGTTATATATTATAGTTATAATATACGTGTGTGTGTGTGTGTGTGTGTGTGTGTGTGTCTGACTGATACTAATATATAAGTCACTGTATAATTCACGCACTGCTGTCTATGACATGCTGAACTCATCGAACCTGTTTGGATTACACTTTGAAAGACCTCCAAGACCTTTTACAAACACAAGTCTTATAATACCTGTGAGCACAAACAGCACAAAAAAATGCAAATAGAACACTAGGTACCTGTATCAGCAAATCTCTCCCTGTCCTCATCGGTCCAAGCGCGGCGACCCTCCAGCAAATATGGCGTAAACTGGATGAAGAGAGACACCACATGACAGCCGGGGGGCGCTAGAGTCGGATCCAGCACTGAGGGAATGGTCATTTCTATCATAGGCCTACACAAAACCACCAGAAGATGAATCAGGATCTCATGTAAATCGCTGTGGTTTGGTGCATTGAATGGAAAACCATCACCATAAACCCTGTCCACGGGCAACAGATGTGTTGTCTGTGAAACTCTGGTCATGACTTGCAAATTCAGACGTCCTGATGCCTTCATGTGTGTAATGTGCAAATATTAGTTGTTCCATTATAAGCACAACAGCAGGTTTTGCCAACCTGGAGGACGGGTATCCCTGCTGGCCCTCCCTGTAGGCCTCCTCCAGCACCTCCATACTCTCACAGTTCAGATGGATTGAACACTGATGATGTGGACCTGGTTTTCCATCCGCACTATTCGGCGCAGCCAAGAAATTAGGCAACTTGTCTACAGCCACTGTTCAGTTGCAAAGGACAGAGACAGATTATTACAATCAAAAAATGTACAGGAAAAAGACTAATTTAACTCCATTAATTACACTTCTTGCAAGGCAGCACCCCAGCTAACAAAAGTATGTTCTAAGAACGTTTTGCTAACGTTCTCATTAAGTTATGAAAACGTTATTTCTTAATGTTCTCTGAACGTTTAAAATGTCCAGCTTTTTAAAATGAGAAGAAATTATTTTATTCCTCAGTACTTTTGTTTTGTTTCCAGTACAAATATCTAAAGATCCTTAAATCATAAAAACATTTACTGGAGAAGCAAAATTACTTGAGTTATTAGGCCAATAAAAATAATAATCAAGAATAAGTGATTTCATGCTTAAAACAAGAAAAATAAACTTAATTTAAAGGGAAAACTAAAATAATTTTGATCATTTTAAGAAAAAGAAAAAAAAAAGACTTGTTATCTTGTGACATTTTGCTTCTTACGTAATTGTATCTTGATTTAGTAATGTTTCAATATTTGTACTGAAAAGCAAGACAAAAATATTTTTGCAGTGCAGCAACTAAATTAGACCAAAATGCTTAACATACAGACTCCATTTAAACTTTGTTTTGTAGATAATTTCCTAGTAGTTTTGTTTTTATTCATTATTTAAAATGATTGAAATAATTATTTTAATTACTGAATTATTCATTAAATTATTGAATTACTTCTTAAATTACTGAATGTCCACCATTTAAAATTAATGACAGTGATGATGTCATCATAAAGTTTTGGACTCTGAATTCCACCTGGGAAATTTTGATGCTCATATTAGCATAATGAATTATCTTTGGTCTTATCTTGCTTGCTTATTAAGTG